CAGTCTGTACATAGCCTCACATACATGCATACATACATACACGACATAAACACAAGATAGACATCCAAAACAGCACATAGAACTACACTAACACACAGGCTGCACTGTGGCACATTGTCAACACTGATTTTTTAAAACATTTCAATGATAGACTTTTCTTAGACATCAAACAAACAATAGAAAGAACGTACCATTGATACTCCTGTCTCTGTTGCAACAGCCAATTAAAAAACAACATTTAATCAAAGGAGCAAGTTAATTTGCAATCAGTAATCAAGCATATTACTGAAGGGCTATTAAAAATAAGAATAATAAAAGTGTAGTATTTATCATTAGGGAATATTCGGCTTCCTTTAATATGAAAATATCTACATCACAACTACCCATCAGCCAGTTTTTCAGATTGAGGAGGGTGTGTCATGCTCGTTTCATACATTTTCATCCAAAGTGTTAATGTCGTACTGAAGTCCAGCGCTTTTTCTGGGGCATTGTTCAGCAGTTGTGTAACCGTGTGTGTCCAGGCTAAGTGAGACATACAAAACAATTCAAATGTTATAAAAGCAACTGAGTACAGTTTCAGATAGTAAAGAGCTACAGTAGTACGCAAAGCAAAACAGTTGTCAGTCATCTAGGCACACTTTGGCGCCTGTCATTAATAAGAGCCACACTGTGGCAATGTAGAATCTTGTGCAAGGGTGTATTTAATAAGGTATTGTTTATTATTAATCGTTACCAAAGTAAATGTGACAAATTAATCATGATATGGTATGATTTTGCTGATACGAACAATATTTGATCCATCTTTTATTCTACTTTTATGCAAATTGTTCAAATACATTTTCCCTTAATGTATGAAATCTGTATCTCCCCTGTCCCATGTGCATCCCAAACCCCTTCTCCTATGTGCAAACACACATACACGTGTACCTTTCAAGAGTACTTGTACAGGTTTGTGGCCTTGGCTGCCGGAGGTTGGGCTGCAGGACCTTGGCAGAGAGGACGCAGCCTAAGCAAAGGTAAAAACGTCTCATCACTCTAGCAGTAGTTGGTGTGTGTTTCTGTGTATTACCAGACCAATATGTAGCCAGATATGGTTATAATATCATAACAGTAATTCACACTCGCATTTATGCATGTCCTCACACACACACACACACACACACCATGTGTAGTTGTAGTACACAAGCACAGTACACACTGTACACAGTAACTGCAACAGTATCATTGTTACTTTCTATCTGACATTATCTGATACACTCTAGTATTGTGAGAGAATGATGAGGCTCTTAAGTATCCCAAAGCCTCAAGTATTAGCATGCTGTGTGTGTGCGTGAGTGTGTCTGAGAGAGTGTGTGTTCCTCTTTACCTCTATGTTTGCTCGATGTGCTGTATAATCTGTCTTGGAATTACCATTTCCTTTACAAAGTCCCTAACAAAATATGGGATATTGCCCTGATTGACTGAAACCGAAACATGTTTTACTGATGCATTTTGACACGTTCAACAAGGAGTAAATATTCCCTCAGGCTGACTTTGTTCAGGACTGTTTCTCTTTGTTAAAATATTTTGATGTAAAAACCACTACTATGTTGTACAGTGTGTGAGACTAATCCAAAGCCAGTGATATTACATGTGCCTGACGGTATGAGAGATTGATAAGGGCTCTATAAAGGGCATCCCAGTAAAAGGCTGTTAACCCAGAATGGCCTATGTGGTCCCTGGTGTAATATAAAGCTGCTCGTTAGTAGTGAACGATACACTGGCAGGTCTCAGTATACCATGCTATGACCAGAGGAGGAAGTGCTAAAACATTAAGAACTGAGGGGAAAGAGGCAGATGGAGGACAAGGACTGGGAGGAAAGGATGGGGGAGGTAGAGAGATTCAAAAAAAGGGGAGGAAAGGATGGATGGCCAGAAGGCACGGGGTGGGAGGAGATGTAAGGAAAGATGAGTTAATGAAAGGAAGAAGAAAATTATAGATAAAAGCTGGAAGAGTGGAGGTTGTAAGAAAAAAGAAAGTTACTCTAGTCTGCTTTTGGTCTATGTCCAGGATAAGTGAGGGAGGGGATAGATGCAAAGGCAGATGGAAGGATGGATGGAGACAGAAAATGAAGGTGGTTGAGGCAGTGAGATAGACAGCGAAGAAATAGAGGGAGGGTGGAAAGGAGCTGGACCATCCTGAACTACTGAGGGTGTCAGAGAGAGAAAGAAGGAGAGTGCTACAGAGAAGGAGGGAGGCTGATTGCTGTGAAATATAGCCCAGAATGAATGGCTGGCTGTATTAAATCAGTGCTGAAAAAGTTACTACTCTCATAAATACTATTTATGCTAATGGTGAGGTATGATTTACTGGGCCTATTAAAACACAGAGAGATGGGGAATGCTTTTTCTTTAACCTCATGTGCTCTCGACCTGTTGTTTTGCTTTCTTTTTTTTATATTTTCCTGTTTTTGCTTTTATTTTATTTTATTTATTTTGACATATTTATTATTTATTTCTTTCATTTTTGGTTCTTTGGTTCTTTTGTCTTTATTGAGTATGGCTTTGTTTGATTATAGTATGTGTTTTATTTATTTATTGCCCCTTATAGTTATTTATCTCTTTCTATGTTTTGATCCACAGTATTCTTCTCTTCACATTCTCTTTCATCTTGACTTATTTTGCCTCCCCCTCTTTCTCTAGTACCAAGTTCTGTACCACCTCCTACTACAGTGCAGAGCTTGAATGGCTTCAGTGCCAAGGTGAGCTGGTTGCCACCCACTGGCGACATCAGAGGGCTGATTGACAGATACGAGTTGAAGGCCTACAATAGAGACCAGCCGGAGCTACCACCTGTCAAAGCCACGTACCTGGCAAATGGAAATTTCACAGGTAAAACTCACACAAACCCTTGATGGTCTAATATATTTGTACATTCAGCACAAATATTAAATATATACAGTACATTGTGAGATATGCCGTGCAGCCTCACCGAGGGCACCAATGACATGTAGCAGGGTGAGGTAGGAGAGCTATCCCTTTTCTGAACAACAAAAAAACTTTCGTTTTGAGCCAGCCAACATGGATGATTGATGATAAATTTAACTTAACTTGCAGCCATTGTCCTATTTAACTTATTGTAGCAGGTTTCCTGCCACCTTCTTGGGGAGCTGTAAGGTTCCACTTACTTTCCTACAAACACACATACACACACACTGTCCCAGGCAACCCTGTTAATGTCTCCTTGGCAAGTCCCCAGCTTTAGGAGACTGTCTCCATTTGGAACAAGACACTCAGGACTACCCCAATGATGTCATACTCTGGCATTGGTCCTTTCTTCTCTCTCTCTTTCTGTTGCTCACTTTTCGATCTTCCCTCACTTCATCTTTTATGATGATGATGATGTCTGCGTCCGCTGCTGCTATTCGTCCCTCCTCTCATCCACTCTTTCATGTCTCCAGGCAAATATGAAGATGAGCTCTCTGTCTCCGTCTTTCTCAGCGTCTCTCTCGCAGCTCCCCATTCCCTCCCTCTCTCTTTGCCAGACATTAAGTCCACCGTGATAAGGCTTCTTGTTAATTTATGATGGCCCCGACACCTGACTACGGAATTACACCAACGGCTAAAAAACACAGAAAGCAAATGAGGGTGTAATGGCAGCGGAGTGGGGCCCTGGACCCTAATTGAATTAAAAGACATAGGTAACAGAGAGAGAGAGAGAGAGAGAGAGAAAGGAAGAAAGAGAGAGGAAAAAAAGAGACAAGTACAGGGTGACTGGACACAGAGGGTGAGGAGAGTTGGAGGGGGTGGAAGAGAGGGGATGTAAAAGAATGACTTAGGAAATACGGAAAGTAGTGGAGAGGGCAGAGACGTCTAGGACAAAAAAACATCAGAGAGAGACGACTGAAGCTTTACAATTAGAATAGACTCTCGTTGTTTGCCAAACGCAGTAAGTCTGCTTAGCAACAGTGGCACATAGAAACAAGTTAAGAATTTAGATTGCGCTATTGAAGAATGCTGATACGTACTTCAGTGACAACAGCTTCACACTAATAAGAGACAGTAAAGGGCATTTAGTCAGATTAGGCAGGGTTGGCACAAAGGAGTGTTAGGTTCACAGTTTTTCTTTCTTTAAACTCACATGCCCATATGTACATTACAAAAATGCATTATTCAGTTTATTCAAGCTGATGTGAGGCTTCAACAGTGTGGGTTAGCAAACTCAAATGGGTATCTTCCATCTTTTTGAACAAAGTTGCCTCTTTATGTTCTCTTTCTGTCTGTGCTCTCTGCCTCACTCCCTTCTCCTCCTCCTCCTCCTCTCCAGGTGTGCTGCCGGGTCTCACTCCATCCACTCGATACATTATCACTGTAAGTGCCTGTAGTCCTGTTGGCTGCACTGAGAGTCTTCATAATGACAATGGTGATAATGATTTGAGATCAAGCCTCACAACCCCGGAGGAAGGTAAGTCTGTAAAGCACAAACACACACACTTATATTTATATATACATACACATCTGTACAGTCATGAGCAGAACTTATGTCTTTCTCTGTCCCCTACCAGTAGCACTGATTTAAGACTGTTTCTGCATCTGAACACACTCAGATACACTTCTAAACACCCTCAGACACTCTCATCATGTCTCTTCAGTGAGATTTTTAGCTCTTAAGAAGAGAGGAGAAGCAAGACAAGAATGAGGGACAGTCAGAATGAAATAAATAGCAGCTGAGAAGGGAGAAGAAGATGTAAAGTAAAATGGCCGGGAAGGCTAAGACTATCTGCTGCGCAAATGACTGAAAAGCACATAGTAACGTTTTTCTTAACTGGGGAGGTCATGGAGGGAAGAATACATGTATAAGTAGAGAGGAAGTGGAAGAGGAAAAGAAAGATTTTTCTTCATATGTTAGTCGCTACATTAATCTGAGTTGGACTAACTGGCCTTGTTGGGAAGATAATGTGACGGCAGGGGTCAGTGCAGAGACAGCACAAATCAATCTGAAGTAAAAGAAAAAAACTGATTACTGTATTGATTCTCACTGAGCGCAGAGTTAAGACACTCAACCATCTTACGAAGACTTGAGACAGAACTTATTTATAACTCTGTTTTGCCAAAGTCTATTTTTCAAACAGACAAAACCGTATACACACATTTTTACTCACTTCTCCATGGCACACAGGCACATTTTGTCACCTTCTTTACTAGGTCAAGGAACATAAAATTGTATTTTCTTCTCTAGACTCTGAAGTGTTTTGAACAGCAATCCAAATATATGTTGATGTGTAGCATCATATGACATTTTACATTTCATGTAGAGAATTTTAAATCTGTGACATCGGATGTAAAAGACTTATAAGAAGTATAAGCTTGTGTTTAGTTTAAGGCATATACCTTTAATGTAATAGTATTTTAATTTTGAATATATTTGTTGCATTTTTGCATTATTATTAGGTAATTTTCCTGGTTCATTATAAAATATATTCAATACAAAACTGTATATTGAAACTTAAATTGTTTTAAAAAATGTTTCCATTTCCATGCATCTTGGAAATCCTGGGAATTTAGAAACTAGTTTAGAAACACCTGGAAATTGAAAAATGGAAAATGACAAAATATCCTGGAAATAATCTATGCTGTCCTGGAAAACTTTAATCGTATTACAACCCCTTATTTAGATCGCCTACTTAAACCTGGGTGTATAAAACTTGACTGTTGGTAGGATAAGCTATCTACTTGTCATGAATCTGAGACACTATCATGTGTCTATCATGAACGCTGTCTCATTAAAAAGGAGAATAAAATGGAGTTAACCAGGCCTACCAGAAAATTCTAAACATTATGTGACTGTGAGCAAGTGCTGTGCTGTACATTTTTTTTCTCTTACAATTTCAGTTCCAGATGTTGTCTCTCCTCCAGCTGCTGTCTCATCCCCCTCAACTCTTTATGTTACCTGGGAACCTCCAGCAAGGTAATAACACAATACATAGTCTCACCTACGCATCTCCCTTCTCACATCCAAAACACTTTTTGTCTGTCATTGTTATGCTGTTCATAAACAAGTTTTAAGTTTTTACATAGGTAAATACACATCTCATCTTTTATCATAAAGCCATTACTGATGGACAACATGTTATTATAAATGTCTTTTCTAATCTGCTACTTCAAACAATATGAAGCAGTGTATTTTAGTAAATTAAACCGTACTTAAAACAAACGGAATGTTGCATAATAATGGCAATTGTATCACCTTTTATTTAGCATACATTTTTTCACCTTGAATAAAGATGTGAGTTTAAAATATGTTAAATGTAACAATAATATCACCCTCATTTAACTTTTTTTGTTCCAATGATAGGCCCAATGGAGGCATTACAGAGTACCTCCTCTATCACAACAACCAAATAGTCTACAGGGGGAAAGACAGACAACACAACATCACTGGTAAGAGAGAGAGAGGAGGGGGCGGGTGCATGTTTAGGGATGGGGCCTCGGTGTAAAGACAAACGGAAGAGTGAAGAAAAAGCAAAATGGAGTGGGGGATTAGCATTTGAAAGAGGAAAGAGCATCTCAGTCCTTACCAAGGGAATAGCACTTTGAAAAAGAACGCTAAACACATGCACACACACATGAAAATGAAGCAGCGGAGAAACAAAGAACACTAAACATTAGCGCATATGCATACACACACTTGGCTTTGAAAGCTTTCACTAAAGAGACTTAAAGAAGGTACGAAACACATGTCACACCACTGAGACTAGAGTGCTGCACCAGGATAGATACACACACCGAGACACAGAAACACACACACGTATGCACATACAAGATACACTCTTAATAGAGCATGTGCACACAAACGGTATGCAGGGATGTACATAGACTCACATACACATGAGAGTCATCCTATATGGCATTTTATATGAGCAGAATAGATTATCACTCATTTCGATTTTACACACACTCACATACTTAGCAAAACATCATACTGCCCAACACTGTATGCGTGTGTCTTTGTAAGTTAATGAATGCATGAGAGCACATATCATCCATGCTGGGTTAATAATGCCGAGTGTCTGATGTTCACAGTGATTGGAAGGATTATGGGCGTAGTAATTATACGGTATGTGCAAGAATAGATCGTGTTACAGAGGGTGAGATTGCAACAGTGAGACAGATGGAGAATAGTTTTGAGGCAGAAGATACAGACACTGAAAGACAAACAACAATTAAGAAACAGAGCTAAAAGGAGAGAGGGAGGGACACAGATGAATATTTCTGTAAAAAAAGAGACAGAATTCAGGGGTCGTTGTTAAATGAGGGTCAAAGTTGTGAGAGCAACTTAGTTTATGATGTTTGTTTTATGTGTTTGAGCCATAGCCTGTGCTTGTTCCTACTTTTATGCCTCTCTATCTCTTGCTGTCTTGGTGAATGTGTGTGTGTGTTTCAGGTCTTGGAGTGTATTCCACCCATGTCTTTGTACTGAGTGCATGCACTTCAGTGGGCTGCACCAACAGTTCACAAGTAACTATGCTGACCTCTCAGCTTCCTCCTGGGCCTCTACAAGCTCCAACTCTTACCCTACTTGACTCGCGGACTATTCTGGTAGAGTAAGTGCATGCGCACAGACACACACACTTGCACACGCACAGAAACATTTACACAATAGGCCTATATCTCAGTATTTGGTTCACTTATGTGAAGAAAAGTAAATGTAAAGTAAATTGTCTAATAGAGAAATGACCAAGCGCTAGGGACAACGCTGCATTTCTAAAAAAAAAAGAAGCCTATTAAGTCTGTATGATTGTAAAAAATGATAAAAACAAATATTAACAGAGAATTGTATAAAAAGTTCTCTAAACAGGAAATAATCTGCTCAAAATTCAGCCAAATCACTCGTTTTACACAAACTTCTTGCAGTTACTGAGTTAACTATTTGGGTTAATAATACAGTTTTGAAATTAATATGAAATATCCATAAAATATGTCACTTAGTCAGAGGTCATCAGTTTACTAAATGATAGAAAAGGGTCCCTTACAGAAAAAGGTTGGGAACCACTGCTGTACA